AAAAAATAAAAAATTCGGCATACGCACGTACGTGGGCTAGCCGCGGTTCGATCCCATGTACGTGAGCAGCAGCGACACATACATGTGTACGTGGGCTAGCCGTGGTTCGATCCCGTGTGCGTGAGCAGCAGCGACACATACGTACGTGGGCTGGCCGCGGTTCGATCCCGACACCCGACTAACCGCGGTTCGTGACACGCTATAAACTCAGGAACTAATCCATTTTTGATACTACCACTACATCATAACTTAAGGTAAGGTTGAAAAAAAAAACTACGTGGATTTCTCAATTCTGTGGTTTCATATACTCCTAGATGTTTAAATCACTCCAAGCAAAAAAAAAGAAATAAAAGATGTGGGGGCTGATGCACTAGATTTTGGAAGCAAATCAGAACCTATTTGGATCCACCTAGATTTTAAGAATCTAGCTTTAAAAACTAGATAGGATCTAAACAGGCCAGATTTTAAGGGCACTTTTTAAATTTATCTACACAAATTTTTAAAAACCCATGAGCTGATAAGGTCCAGCTATTACTAGTTTTTTTTTTTTGCACAAATAACCATTTGCCCTCATTAAAGACCACGCCATCGCTTCGCCTACCTTATCTTCCCCTGCCGCACTCCTTTTCTGCCGCACGCCAGTGGCATGCCTGCATGCATGACGCGGGTGCGCTTGGCTAGTACTGCATGCACATACATGGCTGTTTAAGAGCAATAAACGAGGGGTATAATACTCTATTAGCATTAATCATAAATGAAACAAACTTCTAAAAGCTAGAGGATCAAACACTCCACCAGAATTTTTTACTCATAAACCAGATTTTAAAAACTAGAGATAATAACTGGTTTTTAAGAATAAACTGATCCAAACATGCTCTCAACCAAACGTAGTTGATATGACCATTATTAGCAATTCATATATGTCTACATGGGTGCCTTTAGAACCAAGAAATCCACTTCTCCACAGGAATAAATAAAATGTGGCCCCCACAAGGCCACAAGAACCAACCTATCATCCATCCATAAAATTGAGCAGGAGCACCGCCATAATTTTCAGAGGGACTTGAACGGTTTTCCACCACTTCGAAATCTTTTGGAGAAGCGGCTAGAATTGAACGGTTTTCTTTCAAATTCTACCAGAATTCGCGGGATTGGGAAAACTTTGACTAGCAATACCAGAATTCGCGGGATTGGGAAAACTTTGACTAGCAATCAACTAGCTGCACAGTTATCCACGTCACACCGAAATCAGCTAACCAATAAAGAATACCCGCAATTATCCTCTTGAAGAAAAAAGACGGTAGGCCCATGCCCCCTGGGCCCCTGCACTATATCAACAGCGCCCATGTTCCCTTCAATCCTTCGTCTCCAGCTCCGCCTCGCGTCTTCCTTTCCGCGGCACGAAAGCGCAAACCCCAACTAAAAAAAGCCGCCAGGCAACGAGAAAACGCAACGCGAAGCAAACCCATTTCGGCGTCCGTCCCCATCCCCGCTCCCCTCCCCTCCGAGATTCCAGGCAGGCAGGGACGGCGGGATGAGGCCGGCGGCGACGGCGGCGGCGGACGCGCACCAGTCGCGGCTGCTCTACGAGCTCTGCGCGCTCCTCCTCACCGTCCTCCGGGCGACGCCGGACGACATGGCGGGGGCGGGGCCGCGGCCGCTGCTGCTGCGGCAGGTGACGCCCGCCGGGCTGGCGTCCATGCTGCTGGGCGCGTCCATGGCGCTGATGCTCTGCGGCTCCGTCACCTTCATGCTCGGCTTCTTCCTCATGCCCTGGGTCGTCGGCCTCGGCTTCCTCTTCCTCTTCGTCGGCTTCGTCACCAACCTCTCCGGAATCTGGAGGGCCATCCTCCTCTGGCCCTCCGCCTCGGACTCGCCCAAGGAGGCATCCTCCCCATGTACGTGATCTCGCCGATTTATACATGTTTGGGGATGAAACGGTCCCCCCCTTGTCCCCTTCTCTTGTATGATTGATTGGGGTGTTCAATATCCGAATTCAGTGTGAATTCGACGTAATTGGCGATGAATACGAGAGTTAATGGAGTTCGTTTATTCTGATCGGGGTTTGTTACGCCAAATTTGGCATTCTTCACTCAGATTTTCAAGGACCTACCAAGTTCCTTGGGCGCTTGAAATTGTTGTGAATGTTGAAGCTAGAATAGATTCTTCCTGCAAATTAGGAGTTAGGAATAGGATAGTTCGGGCGATTTTAGTTCAAGAGGGCATCACACAATGTGAAAGGAATTAGTTGAAAAAGTGCTATACCTCACTTTTTATATTTCTATTGCTTGGCTAACAAAACTAGCTTAGGATTTAAGTGCCCGGCACCGCCCAGCCCAGGGAAAAGGGTTCAGGAAGTCATGGGTGCTGCCTGTTGCTGCAAGCCGGTGCAAGTTCATTCAGAGTGTAATTTATAGACGTTTAGTTCTGTAAGTTAGATCTGGAAAGATTGTGATAACTGTAGTTGACGAAATATGAGGGTGGAAAACATTGTGATTGTGTCACCTACTAATGGAACTGACGGAGAGAAGTAAAGAATATGCATGTGAAGTCAAAAAGGTGAAAACAGTTTATCTGCTTGCTTAGTGCTTGTTAAATTCTAGACCAAGGGGGAAACCTTCATATATTTATTCATGCTGATGGGATCATGGGAGACAGGGATGGCTCCTTAAGAAAAGTCCTTACAATATTAGGATTCATGATTTTGCAGAACAAGAACTTTCCTGGACGCTTAGCTAAAGAGCAGAAAAACAGCAAACAGATGGGCTCGGCCTGTACCATTTCCTTTCAGCATTTCACTATCAATCTTCCTTATATTCCAATGGGGACAGGATATTAGAGATACACAAGACTGACATAACTGTACAATTTAACCTCAGTATCATCGCCAGCGTCGATTATCTCTAGACTAGAAAAAATATATTTAAGCAAGTGAAAAGTCTCTAGTCTTTTTTTTTTCTATTCTGTACAAAGCAGATAGATTAACTGTGTGTTCAGGAACTGGTACTACCATCTAGAATCACTCCACATCGGCAAACTTCCATTATCTTTATTCCTTTAGTGTCAATCCTACGTCGTTATCATTGTTCATACCTGTTTCACTTGTTTGGCTGTCCAACACAACATTGTAATATGACCTTTCGGTTGTTTACTTCTTATTACAGGGCATATATTTTCCAAGCCTTCATTCATGTCGATGTGAAGCCAACTACAAAGTAAGGCTCCCACAGAGGTGTATAGAAGCAGGGGAGTTTGAGCAGACTGTTGTCGTTGCCAACCTATATTTTCCTTCCTGGATAATCTTTTTTTACCATGTAACACCGCAGCAAGTTTGAAATGGTTTTATACTGTGACTAGGAGGATACTTGTTTGTACATACGGAAAAGATGATCTGGTCTAAACATCACGTGGAGCTTATAATTGTTTCAGAAATGTTGTTCCTTGGAAAAAAGAAAAAGAAGAAATATCATACGTTTTCCTTTTCATCAGTGAGCTTGTGTCAGTCTCGCCAGTATTGCTGTTCCACTGGGTGTCTCACCTGACTGTGCTGTTATGCTCCAACTTTGCTTATGTTTTAACTTTGAGAGGAGTGGTTGTATGTAATCTCCGTTTCTTGTAAAATTGAAGTGCCACTAACAGTTGACCCTGTATGCCTTGTGTACTCGAGCCCTAAATTGAAAATTGAGAAGAGAAGGTGATTTCCTCACCGGTCTTGACAGAAATCGTACTGCGTGAGCTTTCACCATCTGGCTTTTGCTTGTGATGTTACGCAAAGAACTGTAGCGAGCTTGTCGCTCACATCAACTGTCTCCTGCCTAAACATCTCTAATCCCTTACTTAAACATTGCCTAATCCCTGTCCAAACCCAGCAAGCACAACAGATCTTGAAAGTTCTCTCGAGTTCTTCCTGAGCACCAAAAGGCTATCGGGCACGCAGACTGCTACGGATAATAACCGCCCATAATGGGAGCGTTGGGAAGGGCGGGCTTGGTGCAAGCGGTAGAGTCTTACCGCCTGTGACCGGAAGGTCCCGGGTTCGAGTCGCGGTCTCCTCGCATTGCACAGGCGAGGGTAAGACTTGCCACTAACATCCTTCCCCAGACCCCGCACAGAGTGGGAGCTCTCTGCACTGGGTACGCCCTTTTTAATGGGAGCGTTGGGGAGTAGGGCCACTTGACAACGCTCGCCCGTGCTCCCATGTCCCAGACCTGCTAGAACAGGAAAGCCACCAAAGCCCCACGAAAGAAACGATTGGGTGTTGGGTCAAAAGATTGATATGGCTACGGAAGCAAGAGGAGGGCAACCTGGTGAAGCAACGCCCTGCCACACGAAAGCTCTACGCTAGTAAGCGCCGGTACGGGCATCCCGTCAAGCAACAAGCAAGTGACATCCAAGGTGCCAAATCCGTGGCACCGTGTCTCGTTGGTCCGTCCTGCTGCTCCGCAACCGCGGGCGACGGTTTTAGCTTGACCGCGGGCATCCCGTCAAGCAACAAGGGAGAAGTCCACGAGAAATCAATGTCAGGCGGGCAGATTTGTTTCGTATATTCATTCGTATAGATACGAAAATCAGGCGCATTCGGCATGTGATATGGAGATTCAGAGCAAAGAAGATTCTGTAGTCCATAGAATCTCAAAAGTCAAAACGGAACGTTTTCAAAGTCTGTAGCGATGAAGAAAATAGAAACGCCACTCCAGATACAAAGGACTCAGCAACGCATCCTAACAGCAACAGGAATAAATCTGATATAAAACTTGCTGGCAATGTTCATCAATAAACCTGACATCGCTGCCTGAGTATATAACCAACAGAAGGCAAGGAAAATGACATTCTGAGGTACTGCTCCATATTGGAACCCAAAACTCCTTGCAATTGATGACTCAATCACTGAAACTAAAGCAGCATAAAATTTACATCATTCCACACAATAATAAACTACATTGTTTCTTAAAAAAAAGACACTATCGGACTGCCATGGCAGAGAGAAAGTCCTGATGTCCTTAGCCATAGTTCAGGCGGAACATGTCGTTCTGCACGTAAAAATTCCCAGGTCCTACTGGCATCAAATGGAACATCTGCACAGACAACAGGTTATGATGTCACAAATTTTGTTCGTGCATGTGAATCAATAGAAGTAAATAGAGACGAAATGAAAAACCCTACACTTCAAGTAAGTATAGACCATAACAGATGTAATCAATATTAACATAACATTCTGTACAGCTTAACACAATAAAAAACTGAAAGCACCCTTCCCCGTTTGGATTCAATGGAGTTGACCTATGGAACACAAGCAACCAAAAAAAGAAATACTGACACAGTTCATTGAAACATAGCCAACTGCATGAAACACAACCATAAAGTAAAGCCAAGCAGTCAAAGCAGAAGAATACATTGCAGACAGTAGGATAACAAAGAGAGATGTCCACATAATGATACAATATAACAATTAGAAAGAGAAAAAACTTGCCAATTAAAATCACCAAACCAAAAGGGTATTTAGCATCCCCAATCATAGATGTGCTATGCTATGTTGATAAACTCAGTTGATTGCACCCAGAGTTATCAGAGTCATGAAGGACACAGCATCCTATATTTGTGATTGGGAAACTCTGAAATCAGACGTGTAGCAGTGTAGTGTATGACGGAAACATACAAAAGAAAATAAAAGGTACTAATATGGAGCATGAGAACTCTGATAGGATCCTATCGGAGTAGTTATGAAACACATGAGAACTCTGATAGGATCAAATCAAACCTACGAAGCTTGTCTCATATGACAAAACAGTCAATACATATTAAAAAGAGAATCCTGAAGACATGCACCTCCAGAAAAAAGAAAAATAATAATACTCTCTCTGTCCCTGAATAAATCAATTCCTAGAGATGTCGTAAGTCAAAACTTTTTTATATTTGACTGAAATTATAAAAAAATTACAAATATTTGTGGTATCAAATAAGCATATTATGAAAATAGTTCATGGTGTATCTAATGGTACTAATCTGGTGTCATAAATCTTGGTGCTCTTTTCTATAAATTCGGTCAAAATTGAAAAAGTTTGACTTCAAACTCTAGGAATTGATTTATTCAGGGACGGAGCGAGTAACATACTATATCTAGGGAACTCCAAACCATCACATACTCAAAAGTCAAATCCCTCCGCCACAACAGATCAGATGCTAGTATTATATAGCTGGAAATAGCACAGTTAAGGTGAACATATACTTCAGTTTCACAAAGAAACAACTGGTGTGCTCAGGTGGGAGAAATAAGGAGTGAAACATTGGAGCACCGAATGTAAAATCCTGTAAAGTACAGATCACATTGTGAATCCTAGAGACAATCTGAACACTAAAAAAATCACTTGTCCAGACAACTAGAGATGTATGACAGGCCAATCTTTAGACCTTCAGAAAATAAACAGATATTGAGTAAAATAAATCCACAATACTACTATCGAGCAATGTTATCAAGTCATCTGACTAATCACGATTAGTCAGGCTGATCGGTGCCATGGCGATCCATTATGCACTACAATTAGTCCCAATTACTCACAATTAGTCGGGCTGACCGGTGCCATGGTGACTAGGATCGATTAGACGACTTGATAACATTGCTAACGAGTAAGCTTAACATAAATATAAAATAAACTACTTATAAGAACTGATGGGTCACAGCAACAGTTCAACCAAATGGGAAGTAGAACCAAATCCAACAAGACACTGTTAGGTGACGTTCCTGATGCAGGCCTAGAACTTCAGTGACACAGTAGCTATGGGCATACCTTTAAAAATATTAAATATTACTCTGCCATTTACATTATACGACAGATGTAATGCAGTAACTACAGCTTCGCAACTAATTGTCAGAAAATAAATCCAAATACGCATTCTAGATAGATCTATAGTTGCAACAGTGTCAAAAATCAGAACATTCCATCTATGGCTGTACGGTAACGAATGAGACGAGGTCAGAGGCCAAAGGGGATAACCTGGGAGAACTTGAGGGGGTGCTCTCCCTCGCCGACCTGCAGGGCGCCGGAGACGAAGACGAGCATGCCACCGGTAGGGCCGGCCGGCTGACAGTCAACGGTGGTGACCTGGTGCTTGCACGCAGCGAACGGGAGGGAGGTGAGCTTGCCGGTTATGGCAGTGGCTCCCATGTACTTGTCGCCCTCGAAGGTGAGCATGGAGCCCTCCTGGTACAGCCCCACCAGCGCCGCTCGATTGGTATCGAACGTCGTGTAGTAGTGGTTCACGAACGCCTTCGCCACGCCGTTGGGGTCCATCTGATGGTCTCCGCCGCTCGCCGCCGGTGAGCTTTAGGGTAAGGGCTTTGTGCGTGGGAAGGACGCAGCAGCGGAAGAGGCGGATGGAACGAATTGAATGGAAGGGTCGACAAGGTGGCGGCGGCGGCGTGGAGGAGAAACTGGAGCGTAATGAGCCGGGAAGATTGGGCCGTATTATGGCCTTCAAGCAGTGGAAGATCAAATGGGCTTAGTGTTTTGTGGAAATTTGGGCTTAGTTGTTGGCCTTCGGCTCGTTTTTGTCTTTCGTTCGGCGTAACTTTTCTTTATTTTTTCTGTCTCTTTGCATTCTTAAAAATATAATATAAATTCACCGTAAAGTACAACGAAAATATCCGTCGCCATTGTCTCCTTTTTGTCTTTCGTTCGGCGTAACGTCCTTTTTATTTTTATTTTTTCGTGTCACTTTGCATTCTAAAAAATATATAAATTCATCGCAAAGTACAAGGAAAATACCCATCATAGGCGAAAATAGGTTTCATAACAACTACTAGTGAACATGTGAGAACTTCTACTGATGTCAGACTCTATCAAATATCATGAATACTGGAATTATATCAAAATATCATGCCACAATGTCTGGTTGCAGATCACCAACCTCGATCAGGACTCAGGTTAAGGTCTTGAACCACCGTGGATAACATCTTTTGATAAAGGTAACGAGTTCCCAAGCTATCAAAACAATACTTCGATACACATTTGCACAAAGTAGTGCACCAAGACATTTTATCTTGTGCATGCTCCCCATTAGGTGTGCCATATTATTCAACTATAAACCTTCGACCCAACGTCGAAGGGGTTTGTAGGTGTCAAACCTCATCATGAGTATCCCTTTGCCTGCTTAACCTTTTAAAATTAACCGTTTGCTAGAAAAGCTCTATGTTTAAATGCAGATTTCCAACCTTCGTGTAAGATAATAATCACTTGAGCATATACTTAGTCTTAAAATCATTACATTGATTATTGTTACATTTGCGGCTAATCACCGCTCTTAACCTTCGCATGGGAAGTTTGAAACAGTCTTGGCGCTAACAATTTGCTTTGAGTATGACTCTAATTTGTAGGGTTTTACATTGTGACCGATTTTCTACCATCTGGTCGTCCCCCGAAGCTAAGCTTCTATTACGTCCATCAACTCTCCTCAAGACAAGTCATCCAACGACTTCCTTCTAAAATTGCTCAAAAGTCCATAAAAGCACCCACATATTGCCGTTAAAGGATATTTGCAGACCAAGTGTCATTCTCGCAGTGATCAAACTATGTAATCTTCTCATCTATATACGTCCTTAATTCACCACATCCAATAAGGAAACCAGCGTGACGAAGCTCACTGGTGAACTCCTCAGCGCTATCACCTACACAGTTTATCGATTATACATAATGAGAGCGTCTAAATCAACAAGTACAAGCCAAAAGTTCAATCTTTTCATTTCAGGGACTGCAACAATCCACCATAAACCTAGTGGTTCCTAATGATGCCATTAACGATTAACCAATAACCACAGGCACAACCCAAAACCCCAAATTCTCAACAGAAAACCCCAATTTATCAACAGAAAACCCCAAAATCCTAAAAATCGCCATTCAATACATAAAACCCAAGCCACCAATCTAGGTCCGATTTCGTCAATGCATCGAACTATCCTATTACGCTGCAATTCAAGAATCCGAGGTCGGATGAACTAACCATACCTCAACGCAGTGGCTCCCTTATCCCGCATTCTTGGCGCCATCGGGGCCTGAGTGCCCATGCACCAGCAGGCAACGCTGCCACCAGCCGATGACTGCGGCAACAAAGCCTCCACGTTTGTCGCGCCTTCGAGCGGCGATGCCCCCGCCGCAGACCCTACTCATCGCTCTCCTGTTGCACGCGGCTCTGGCGGCTATCTCATCACTCCACTGAGCCATGGCCCATCGCCGTGTCACGGTCACCACTCTCAAACCTTCGTTTAGAGTCACCGGTGCGATGATTGGATCCAAGGGCGGATCCAGCACCGGAGCGGGGTGGGCTCAAGCCCTCGCTAATACCGCTACTCGTACCATGGAGCCTCTCCTACAAATTTGCACCTATTCAAGATTGGAAGGAGAGGCTAGAGATGAAAGATTATGAGATAAGCCCTCCTGACTCATGTTCCTAGATCCGCCGCTGATTGGATCCCCTCCTCCTCCTGACAACCCTGGGACTCTAACCTCAAAACCGTCTTCTCCGACGACAGCACGTGAGAATCGGGTCACGCAGTGGCGCGAACGCGCGACCATGCTGTATTTGAGTTTGCATAATAGTTGTGTGCTGTCTGCTGTCACGTGGACGTGGGTGAGTTTGCTTACGTACGCGGCAGTGGTTTTTTTTTTGCAAAAGAAATGGGTCAAAATATGAAAATTAATCTTTGCACAAGTTTGCAGCATCCTCGATCTACTCGTTGAATGCGGTGCAGTCTCTCCTGATCTCCCCGTGCCTGCCGGCCTTCACCCCAACACTGCCCAGCTTGACCATGGCGTCCTTGAACGCCTCGAAGAAGCGCGTCTGGTTCTTAGCGAAGCCCCTCACCACCGGCCGCGACGCCCCGTCGCTGTACAGCGCCTGGTCGGAGGTGAACAGGCCCAGGCCGCCGGCGAGGTTGGCGTAGTAGGCGTTGTCGAAGGCGGTCGGTGTGATTGGGTCCATATCGACGGCGATGTCCGCGCCGACGTCCGGCGGGCAGGCGTCCATGAGCTGCCGCGCGTACTCCGGGTTGTACGACGGGTCCACCGACGCGCCATTGCCGCCGTCGCCGTGGTGGTAGAGGCGGTCCGTGAAGCGGGTGCAGTGCGCGAACCCGACGGTGTGCGCGCCCGAGAGCGCGACCATGTCCAGCGTGCTGAGGTTGTGCTTGGCGAACATGGCGGCGAGGTCCTTGACGCGCATGTTGGGTCCCGGCAACTTGCCGGCGACGTTGCCGGCCTTGGAGACGAGCCCGTCAAGCCGCCCAAGCTGGACGGTCCAGTGGGGGCCGGACGACTGCCATGCCGTTGCACATGCACACTAGTATCAGAAATTAAACCGAATTGCCATGGCTCAGTAAGAAGTGAGTGAATTACCATGGTGACGACGTCCCTGGCGGCGATGGCGAGGATATCGGCGCAGGAGACCACGCCGGGGCACTTCTTCTCAACCTCGGCCTTGGCGCGCACCACGGTGTCGAAGCCGTCGCCGGCGAGGGACACGTTGTCGGGCGCGTCCTTCTCGGCGTCGTTGTCGCGGGACGCGATGATGACCGACGCATCACACCCCTGCAAGTCGATTTTCACCATAAACATGTCAGTACGCGAAAAGCGTATTCATCCTTGGACATTCAGAGTGTGGAACGAAACGATGACGTGGACAGCATGAAATTCCGCATTCGGCTCGTCGGAAGATGACAAACGGGTGGGTGGCTGATTTGCCAGCAGGGACGGACGTCCGACACATCTGACCTTAATCTCTCATAGAATTCAGCCTAGTTGGTAGAAAAGGTCGTGCAGTCACATGGCACAGCCGACGAGTGCGTGATTAGAAGCCAACAATCGAGCTGTCATTCGTACCAATAATCTACTGCCGCGTCAGTCCTAGCACTAACACTACCAAATTCAATCTGATCTACGAGTTCAGTATGAAATGATTGCCTAGCTACAGTAATCTGCGAGTCGATCTGAAAGCAGCGGAAAAGCCTTGTCGAACTGAACCTCTACGAGATTGCAAATCAAGAAACTTCAATGGTTAACATCTAAAGCGAGGTGTTTAAAACACAAGATCTTCACAGGAATCGATCAAAGCAAATCCCCTCCGTGTTCGATAGAAATCCCCGCGTTCTAATTTATAAATGGATCCTTGGTCTCGGCCAAAAGAGCCTCAGATTGCCCGAATGCGCAGGTACACGCACTGATTGGATGTTGCTCACCTCGACGAAGCAGTCGTGGAAGAAGAGTCTGAGCGTGGCCGGGACAGTGACGAAGGTCTCATTGACCTTCTTGGCCACCACTGCCCGCACGATCGCCTCGACGTCCGGGCACGTCGACCGGTAGTAGTCCGGGGACAACTTTGCTTCCGTGGACGGCAGCGTTATTGCTGCCACCAGGACCACGGCTGCAGCAGCAAGCAGCAAGTGCCTGCGTCTTCTCCATTTCTCCATGGGCTTGGAGCTCAAGCTCTCTGTCTGTGTGGGACTGTGGGAGTGTGTTCCAGAGGGAAGAAGATGCAGAGCGCATCTACAGATGGAGTGACCAGTGAAGTGACGACTAGCTTGGAAGGCTCTACAAATGGAGACAGGGTTGGTGGGAGGGCCTGTATATACAGTGTGCACCGCCCACCGGGGTAAGTGAAAAGGATTAAAGGAGAGGGGTTAGGTTGAACCGGATGTTGTGCTATAATCTGTACAGTATACGTTAGCTGGCACAAAAATAACCATACAGAGCCAAGAGTTGGGTTTTGGGGGTTGATTGTGGAAAGTCGAGAGATAAGGCATCCTTACTATCCCTCTACGTAACATTACATGAGATTTTCACTTGATACGGCTCTCGTTCAGTTCTTTTATTGAGTCACGTTTTCATGTTCTAATTGAACACTCTTTCCATTTATGATTAAAGGAGAATATTATTCTTTTACCAAATATATGCGGATCAAAACATGTCTTATAATAAAAGAAATCTTTCTTAGTATCAATCCCCTTGCCCCCAATTCTTTTAGAATCAGAAGGATTCTTTTTGAGTTTCCATCTCTTCATTTTGAATCTAAGCTCTTCTATCTTTGACTTATTTTTTTCGCTTTATTCTTTATTAATTTCATTTCGATTTCCCCCTCTTCCTCTATCCCTATGATCTAGGTACAACTTTTGCATCAATAAAGAACTTTTTCCTCTGTATAAATTGATATTATTCCATTCTAATTTCTTCCCGAAACTTTCCAAGAAAAATTCCGAATTGGATCCAAAATTGATGGGTTAATGTGAGCTTATCCATGTGGTTAGACACTCTTCAAACAGGAACATATTTTCTAACTAGCTTGCGTGCTTTGGCGAGTCACCCGAGAACCTTTTCGATGACCTATTTGTGTTGAAGGGATAACTATATGATCCAATCGATTGCATAATACCAGCGGTAGCAATAGAATGGGAAAGTATGCAGAAAAGACAGCTCTTTTCAATTTCCAATATCTATATATTAGTTCGTTTCTATTTCTAGATATTTATTTCTATAAATCTATATATTAGTATTAATATCTATATATTACTATTAGTTAGTAATACTATTCTATAGTTAGCGATCCTAGCCGTGTGAGTTCTTTCTTCTGTGATGAACTATCGGCACTAGTCCTACATTTTTCCTCTGTGGACCAAGGAGAACAGGGGCACTCAACAGGACGAGGATTGTACCATGAGAGAAGAATAGAGGTCAACCCACTTCAAATATAGAACATGGATTCTGGCAATGCAACAGAGTTGGGTCCTCAAATCGATCCGAATGAATCTGTCTTTCTACAAAGGTCAATTTTTGCCTATTAGGCAAGAGGATAGCAAGTTCAAAATTCTATCTCGACATGACATGGATTTCTATTAATATGAAAGTCATAAGTTAGTTAATGGGAGGGCTACCATTATCCTTTTTCTTATATGTGTTTCTAAGAGAAGGAATTTGTCCGGTTCATGTTTTGAGGTATCAAAAAAGGATGTGAAAACAAATAGGAACTCTTGAATGGAAATTAAAAAGAAATGTAGGCCCAATTCATTTGGAAATGGTAAAATCTTTGGCGCAATAAGAAGGGCCGATCCATATCATCTTGACTTGGTTTTGCTTCCCCTCTTTTTTAACAATACCATAGTCGAGTTCTTCTCCTATCAGTATTGAATAGAACATGTTGAACAAGATCTTTATGGAAACCCACTCGATTTAGGTCGGAAAATTGTATAGATTTTTATGAAACCATGTGCTATGGCTCGAATCCATAGTCAACCCGATTTTCAATAGGACTGGTTGATATTTGAATCCAATTTTTCCATTATTTGAATGTCCATAATAGTGCGGAAATAAAGCCCAGAGGAAGTGGTCTGGCCTTGTGTTTCTCGCTCCTTTGCCTTAAGATTTGTTAATTCTCTTTCTTGATGGGATGGGGAAGGGAGAGTGTGCACCTTGACGTGGTGGAAGTCATCAGTTACAATATCAAACCACTATGCTGCTTGATGATTACTTTATCCACTGCTGCTTCCCAGGACCAAAGTTAGCATATGGAGAACATACCCTCACAGCACATCGGGAAGACTATGGTGTTCCTTTTACATCATTTTTCATATCAACCGTGACGGAGCCTGACTCACAATCAAGGGAGTGCTAAATTTTCTATAGTTAATATGATTAGACTAGGTTTATTGCCAGATTAATCGTAGTTTTGAGGTCAGCTAATACTACTTGCTGGAGATAGATGGGCCATGAGGCCATTACATGCACAGTTTTCAGAGAAGAGTATCTAGCTCCTCAAATAAATGGATTACCTAGACATACAAATAATCAAATATATGCACAAATCTTCATTAAGTTTTATTAGCCAAGGGGGGCCGGAGCTCAGTATGGCCTCCACTAGGCTAGCTCCACCGGTGCATAGCAATCTGTCCTGCTAGAATATTACTTCATCTATCTCTAATAATAAAGAGCAAAATTTTTGGCTATTTTTTTTTCGTCCACCCTCCTTAACTAACTCTGTGAATGCGGAAACTATGTTTGTTCATCTACCTATAGCCCTCCTGATATATATGCACAACTTGAATATATGTTCTTGAGGTAATATGGATAGTTAGAATCCTAATCCTAATCCAAGTAGAAGATAATAAAAATCGAAATTAGACAAATCTGAGGAGAGAAAATAAGTAGAGAAAATCCCCAAATAGCAATAGTTTTACTCTATTTTTTCCCTCTGACGGACATGTTTTTAGTTTTCCATGTTTACTTTTCCCCTTGTGTCAGACATGGAGTTGTACTCCGTTTTTCTATCCAGTGACAGTCGGACACGATGGAGTTTTACTCTGTTATTTTCTTCTCTGTGACGGTCGGACACGGTGAAGTTTTACTCCGCACGGGGTTCCGAACTGAGGACGCAAACCTGCTCCATCTCGAGGGAAAAATAACTCGCTCAGACACAGGCAAAGAAATGGGACACGCTAGACACATAAGATTCCGCTCTTTAATCTCCAAAAATCACTGCTCCAAACCGATTGGTGATATGTGCAACCAGATCAATCACTGGCTCCTCTCTTTACTGTATGCATGCACATCCATTCGTTTGTTGGTCGGTGGAGTGGTGGACCACGTCCACGAGCGTTGTGTGAGGGTATCAACGGTCAGAGATGGAGATATTGTTACGGGTTCTCAAACAAAGTTGTGAAACCCCATATTTTACTAGCAACACATGGACAATATAAAAAATTAAGTTATGATATATTTATAAGTAAATATTTCTATGTTTTGTAATGGCAAAAAAAAATCTATCAAAATTGTACTTTAGTTTAATACATAGGTTTAATATGACATTATCATTTTATTGTTAACATTAATTTACATTATGGAAGCATAGTCATAAAAAATTATAGCTTTTAAATAAATTTATAGAAAGGGTAAAACATAAATACTATATATCATTCCTGTTGTCTAATATTATTTTTCATTTGTTGTTACATAGAAAAAAAAAAGAATGGTCCGAATTTTACTCCTATACCAATTACAGAGTCCATATAGGACTATTATGGTCCTTGTCTAAATAGGACTACCTACAACTTCTATACCAATTGCGGAGTCCATATAGGACTATGGTCCTTGTCCAAATAGGGCTATGTACAATGATTCTGCCACTATATAATGAAAACAAATACTGCCCTAGAGAGCATAAACCACCGTAACAAAAAAAAAAGCAAGCATTTAGACGGCAGGACAACACTCCTCCAATTTTCATCGTCAAACTATAATAGACACAAAGAAATCAACATCATGAATATCAATGTTGAACCATATGATGAAGAGCGACAGACCCTAATTGATCTCAATGAAGCCCATATTCTACATCAGGAAGACGCCAGGATTGATGCCCATGAAGATATGATGTACATGCAGGAGGTGGCATAGAGGCACTTGAAAACCAGATTACAAACATTGATGCACTTGGTGAAAAAAAGAATTGCATCTAGGTAAGATTACTCCAAGATTGCTTTTTTTTCTCTATTGCATCCAGGGAAAACATGGCACTATTCTTATTAAATTCTTTTTACATTCTTTTTAATCTACAGATTCAAGGAAACAAAAAGGAAAAGAGAGGAAGAGAGAGCGAGCGGTATGCACAGATGACCAATGAAAAAAAAGCCGGAAAAACTAAAAAGGCGTCTTGAAGCAAAACATGGATGTCATGGTCATCGTATAATAAATTATAGTTTTTAAATTTTATAGAAAAGAGTAAAACATAGATAGACATGTAAGATTCCTATCTATGTTTTTCATTAGCATTTGATAGCTTTTTTTAATCCCGTTGCAATGCACGAACATATTTTGCTAGTAGTTATAATTAGCCTAAGCCACATTAATTTTGTCCTTTCGGGAATTAATTGACATTGTAATTCATATATACTGCTTTGTTAGATGGTACAACTCACTTGTAATACCATATTTTTATTCCACTTTTAGTGCAAGTTTGTGGTTCTTGCAGGACGATTCATTTATTTGTCATTCACGAGATATCAATTTCTAAACTCACACAGCAACACACGGTGTATGTTGATCTAGTTGTTTATGTGACCGGGGGAAGGGGGAGTATACGTGAATATAAGGACAAATAATGAATGAATAGCACTTAAACGTGACGGTGTTGCACCGCCTAGGCATCTATCGTTTTTCTTAACACTGTAGGTAGTGCTCCTGACCGTTCCGGAGAATGAATAAAGTTTGAAACACGCAGCAGCAAACGACGAGATGCGAAGCAATGCGTGCATGTCGGAAATAGCAATTAAGCAGCTGGTCCGCGTATCACATCCAGACGCGTCGGTCTAGCTGTAAGCTGTGCCTGTGCGCGCGCGTGATTTCCCACTCCCACCCGGTCCCAGGACCCTGGGCCTCCTTGCAGCGGCCACGGCAACCCCACGTCAACCCATCACACATGACACAGGCACGGCTAAGGGCTTGTTCGGTTCGGCCGGTTTAGCCCGGAATGCAGCCCAATCCGGGTGGATTGGAACGGCTGGGAATGGAGTCCGGCATGGCTTGGATTCGCTGTTCGGTTAGATCTGGTCCGGAATGGAAACAGGCCCGGTTCGGTTTTCCCCCCTCTGCTCATGGCCCGGATTCATTCCCCACCTCGTCCCCTCCGGAACGGAGCCTGGCCACTCGCTCGGACTCTGGCCGGATTGAGTGACACGGGTGGAATCACTCAAACCGGGCCTGGAAGTAATCCTGGCCGGGATCCAATCCGACTAAAACGAACGAGACCTAAAAGGGAAGGCGCGCCAGGACTGAGAGTGAGAGTAGCTGCTGCGCGCTGGCGAATCCAATCCTGGAGATTTGGTACGGTGGAGAGACTGGCTGGAGATAGAGAGGCCAAGGCCAGGATGAGAGTGGCGGTGGTGGGCGCCGGCGTGAGCGGGCTGGCGGCGGCGCACGAGCTGGCGAGGAGCGGCGGCGCGAGGGTGACCGTGTACGAGAAGGAGGACTACCTCGGTGGGCACGCCAGGACCGTGGCCGTCGAGGACGCCGACGCCGACGCCGACGCCGGCACCGTGCAGCTCGACCTCGGCTTCATGGTCTTCAACCGGGTACGTGCGTGCGTACATCGGTGCATTTAGTAGATATAAGCGCATCGTGATGTTCTGCATGTCCGGCAGCTAGCTTGATTGTTTGTCGTGCGCTGCGCCGTACCCACCCACGGGCATTCTGTGCCATTCGGCATGAACAGTTCTTCCTCCTACCTTTTAGGCGCTTCAACGACTAGTCTTTTGTGTTCGATTTAGCCGAGAGAATTCCCTTCTCCTTTTCCTTTCCATTTCCATCTTCTTGCTCATGCCAGAACTGGGCAACAAATATGTGGATTAGTTTAGGTTATTATTATTCACTTCAAGGTTAATTATTGTCCCGTGATTAGTTGTTGCAAAAAAAAAAACCATCAAGCAATATAATCCATAAACCATAATGATGACGACTTTAGGGCAGTCCCAATGGTGTATTGATGATGGTTTCTATCCTCATTAAATGACTTGTCACGTAGGCAAAATATTGACATGGCAACGTAATTAATGAAGAAAGAGAGCAAAAATCCTAGAAATGGTTTCCTCATGAAGAAATCAGGTCTTCTCTTGACCCAATGCACTAAGAAACCATGAAATCGCCATTGGAGAGAAACCACCAGTTTCAGTTTCTAGGAGGCTCGTGCCGCACTTCCATTGGAGAAAGAATGTAAAGTTGGAAAAGAAAAAGAGAAAATAATTATTACTCATAAAAATTATAGATTAAAAAACAGTATTTTTTTTTACGATATTATGTGTTATAGAAACTACTGTTTTTTCACCGGGACTTATAGGGAGGGTGCGTGCGATATCGAGGCGACGTGGAGGCAGGCAGCAGTGACCTTACACGCTCACGTGGTCACCAGCAAAACGCGAGAACCAATGCCACACCTTCCTGGCTTGGCTCCCTTTTTCTAGACATCTAGTGTGTTTGGTTTTTTAGGTTTTTTGGCATAGCTTATATCTGCTTCGACTTCATCTATTTTGCGTAAATCGAGGCACTGTAGCGTGGAGCTGTTTTATAAGCCGGGGTTAAAATGAACTAGAAGCCGGGAAAAGCCAGTTTTTCTGGCTTCACCGGCTTTAGCTTCACCGGTGAAGCCGTTTTGGATGAGCCGTGCCAAATAGGGCCTTAGTTGCTTCTAAAATTCATGTCACATCGAATATTTAGACACTAGCAAAGAGCATTAAATATAGATTAATTACAAAATCAATCACATAGATGGAGGCTAATTTGCGAGACGTTTTTTTAAGCCTAATTAATCTGTCATTAGCACATGTTTACTGTAGCACCACGTTGTCGAATCATGGACTAATTAGGTTTAAAAGATTCGTCTCGTAAATTAGTCGCAAGTTATGTAATTAGTTTCGTAATTAGTCTATATTTAATACTCCATACATGTGTTTAAACATTCGATCTGACAGAAATTTTAAGAGCGCCTCTGGAACAAAAAGGGTCATAATATCCCACATGTAGTACTATATTCTACGACGTGTCAGATTGCTTGATTGCGACGATGTCCAGTAGCTATGGCTACTATTAGCACTAGAAGATTAGCGTGGTTATTAGCAATGCTGTCGGCCTCACTTAGTACTCCGAGGACCAGTCCACATCTCTGTGTACCCCTCTTCCTGTCCATACATTTATTTAGAATCTATATTGCCGTACTCCATCCGTTTCAAAGCATAGAGGATATTAAGATTAATAAATTCAAAGTTCACAAATTTTAATTAGTAATTGATAAATTGCATACATGTTTATGTACTAAATCAGTTTCAAATTATAGTTCGTTTGACTTTTTTGACTCGAAGTTTGACCACTCGTCTTATTCAAAAATCTGTGCTAGATATCACTTCATTTGTTGTGGCTTGCTTTATTAACAAAAGTTCTTCAAGAATGACTTAAAATTAACTATGTTTACACAAACTTGGGGTTAAAAAAGTCAAACGAATTATAATTTGGAACGGAGGGAGTAATATTTAAGAGTTTGTTTTATTATATGAGTTACATCAGTGGTTTCACATTCCACACATTTTTCAACACAAAATTTTGATTTTGCGACCATTGATGATGTCTTGTATGAACAACTAATGGTCAAAGTATACTTCTAAAAACTTACTCAAATCATAATACACCTCATAAAAAGGAATGGAGTGAGTAGTAAATAATCTACTCTTGACCTAGTTTGACTTGGTGAGGTCATATCAAGATCATGCTTGGTGGTTTTATACTGCATCGATCATGGCTATAAAATTTACACAAAAAAGTATTTTTAAATGTGAATCTCATAACGTTAAATATATATGCAATAGTCTGTATATTATTAAGCTAATGGTTATTCAAATATATATTAAGGAGTTCAAATTCATTACCTTTAAGAAAAATAAAGGACATGCTTCGCAAGAGACATACATGTCAGTCACAGCTATCTTGTTATCCTAATTCCTATCTGGTCTTCTCTACCCTTGTGGGTCCATGTATCCTTGATTCCTTGGCTTGGATTTGTTTGGGAATTGGGATGCTTGGGTCGTGATCTCTCCTTACAAACAGCATATGTATTCATTCATATCCGGTGCTTTCTCTGGCTAGAAATTTAAGTCCATGGATACATTAATATATTGAATGTGTCACCTTAACTACCAAATATGTGTAAGGATATAATATAAAAAGGGTTATATATTACGAAATTATTTTCATAGTGGATGAAGCAATAAGTCCTATGTTGTCAATAAGTTCATAAAATTTTATATACTCGCAAACAAAGATAAAAGAAATGGTTTAAACAATCTATATCTCCTACAACTAAAAAGAACAAAGTGTGGACATTTTTTTGTGCGATATTTGTTTTAATTCGTCCATCTGCCCACGCCTGCGATCCCACGACATCTCCTTGATTGAATATTGCCTGTCATATGATAGAGGAATCACGGCAAAATAGAAAGTAGAAAATTATTGTGCTATCAACATACACATTGCATGTTTGCATGCACCAGCATACATGGCAACAAGCAAAAGGAAAGAGGATTAACACAAAAGAAAAGAGAATTAAGACAAAAGGAACCTCTTTGCATTTATGAGAACCTTGCCAAATCTGCCTATATTTAATTACTTCCCTTCTTTGCATTTGCAAAAGGGACAGCTTTTTCCTCCTTTCATTTGGCTTCACGCCCACGTGTTCCATCTGCCTCGGTCTCCTCCCTGCTCGTCGCTCCCCTTGCGATCGCGACATCGCTCCCCTCCCCTCCGTGACTCCCCGCTTGGCCGTGCTGCACACCTTCGACCACCGTGAGGCGGCGCGGCGTCCACGGTGCTGGAGGGCCGGATCGGGGGCACTGTGGTGCTGGTGAAGAAGGACGCGCTCAGCTTGGGCCACTTCCCGGCGTCGCTCCTCAACAGCATCCATCATATCCTCGGCCAGGACACCGGGCTCGCCTTCCAGCTCGTCAGCGCCACCAAAGCCGACCACCGTGAGGTGGCACGGCGTCCCAGTGCTGGAGGCGGCGCACGCGTCCGTGCGCAGCATCCCGGTGGCGCAGGTGGTCAACCAGGGCGTGCCCACCCCTTCCCTGCTCTTCCTTCTGTGCGAAAAAGCGGACACCTAAGTGAAAGGTCCTAATATGGCTAGAGGGGGGTGAATAGCCTATTAAAAAATCTACAAACCGACTAAAGCAATTTGATTAGTATAACAAATAGCGAAATACAAACTTGCTCTAGCTCTACAAGGGTTGCAAGCCACCTATCCAACAATTCTAGTTGTTATGATCACTAGGCACATAATTTACTATATCACTACTCACTAAGAGCTCTCACAATTGCTACACTAAAGAGCTCCACTAGATGAACTTAATCCACAAAGCAAGCTCTTAAATCTAGCTACACTAAAGAGCTTGTTATAGCTAGTTTACGAAAAAGTAAATGAGTAAGTGAGGTGATTATACCGCCGTGTAGAGGGATAAACCAATCACAAGATGAATATAAATCAATCACCGAGAGAACGCCAAATGGCAAGAGACAACCGATTTTCTTCCGAGGTTCACGTGCTTGTCAACACGCTACGTCCCCGTTGTGTCGACCAACACTTGGTGGTTCGGCAGCTAAGAGGTATTGCACAAACCTTGTCCACACGATTGGACACCGCAAGAACCTACCCACAAGTGAGGCAACTCAATGACACAAGCAATCCACTAGAGTTACCTTTCGGCGCTCCACCGGGGAAGGTACAAATCCCCTCACAATCACCGGAGATGGCCACGAACAATCACCAACTCGTGCCTATCCTCCACCGCTGCACCAAGCCATCTAGGTGGTGGCAACCACCAAGAGCAACAAGCGAAATCCGCAGCAAAACACGAATACCAAGTGCCTCTAGATGCAATCACTCAAGCAATGCACTTGGATTCTCTCCCAATCTCACAAAGATGGTGAATCAATGATGGAGATGAGTGGGAGAGCTTTGGCTAAGCTCACAAGGTTGCTAAGTCAATGCAAATGGCCAAGAGAGTGAGCTTGAGCCGGCCATGGGGCTTAAATAGAAGCCCCCACGAAATAGAGCCGTTGGGCTCCTCACTGCACTGAACACGGGCTGACCGGACGCTCCGGTCAAATTGACTGGACGCTGGACCTCAGCGTCCGGACGTGCGATGTGCGCCACATGTCATCGGCTTCAAATGCCGATCGCCCGATTTCAACGGTCAAGTGATGATCGGACGCGTCAGTTAGAAAGTGACCGGACGCTGGATCTCAGCGTCCGGTTGTTTCCAGTAAGGTTTCAAACACGATATTTCACCACCGGACGCGTCCGATCATGCTCGACCGGACACACCCCGTCCCGGTCACTCAACGTTTCCTCTGTGCGCCTCACGTCAACGTACGTCAGCACTGACCGGACGCACCCTGCCAGCGTCCGGTCACTTTTATCGCCAGCGTCCGGTCAAAGACCGAAACACGCGCCCTCTGCTGCCACTGACCAGACGCTCCGGTCCAACCGAGACCAACGTTCGGTCACATACAGTGACATTCGTCTTCTCTGTCT